GTGCTGTGCAGTGATTTAAACCCAGTGATTTAAAATAAAATCACTGGTCATTCAGAGACTGGTTCTTTTTCTCTTTTCAGAACCAGCATTTCTTATGACGCTGACATTCATAGTCTAATCCAGGTATAGGCAACGTCGGTCCTGGAGTGCCGGGATTATAGTAATATAACTGTTACTGTTTAACATTTGTTAAAAAAGACTGTAAAAGGCTATTCAGTGGCAGCTTGATGCCAACTTGCTCCACTACAGGCCAATATGTGTTAAATGATCTCTATCTTGTCCTGGGCAAAAACGGGAAATGTTCATTAGCTTAAAGTATGTGCCTATAGAAACTGACTTTCAAAAATAAACCCAAATGTTCACTGTAATTAAAAATTGTGACAACTAGCACATAAATTCAGATTTCGCTTTAAAGCAAAACAACAGTTTTAAAATAAAAGTGGAACTATCATCTTTATTTAATAGTCTTTTTAATCATCATATTTATATATTTATTAATATATTGTATATTTTAACTGTAATTAGCATAAAAAAATATCTATTATGAACACCATGTTCTGTTCATTTCTGGGTGTCTTTTTAAATAATATGAATGCAGTTCACCAAACTGGGATAAAACAATGGCCTCTTAGCAGCAAGGCAAGGCATGTTTAGAGGACGCATAATGTATAATTTCTTCTCATGATGAAAACATGAGCCCCGTTTTTCATTGTTGCTATATTTCCAGATTGCTGAACGTGATCATTCTCTAATTTAACACATGCTGAACGAGAAAATACACAAGAAATAACAGCATTTATTACATGCATTAATAGCTCTAAATCTGGTATAGGATGATATGGTCTTCATATTTTAATTAATGTAATACATGTTTTATCCATTATATGATTGTAAATATTATATAAAAATGTATGCATACTGTATGCATGTATGTATGATAACACATAATATCACCATACATCCATAATATATGTACAATAACAATATGAAAACGTACACTTTATGTGAATGAAATTTTAAATGTCAATAAACCATAAAAGTTTACATATTTGTATTCTGTAGGGTGAAATAACTGTTAAATGCCACATTTTTGTTTTAAAATACAGTTTTATAGTTTGATGTTTCTGCCAACCCAAATAATCTCAACCCAAATAATGTGGTTATATTTTGATGATCGATTTTATTTAACATACAATTTAATAAAATTGTTTAAAAATACACATTTTTATTTTTTAAAAAGTGTCTCCCAAGCTTACATTGTATTTGATACAACTTTTCAAAGCTTCAAATGTTCAACAAAAGTATAGTTTAAAATACTTAAAATAGTGGAAATGACACATTTACTTTGATCAGTGGGGTCCAAAACAAGTTTTGAAGTCAGTGGGGTCCAAAACAACATAACACTGTACCCAAATGACTTTCACTGTATGGACCAAAATGATAAAAAAAAAAAAGTTTATTTTTCAATCATTAATTCATTTTTCATCTTCTCGTGTTCCACAAAAGAAAGAAAGTCATACAGTGTTAGAACGACATGCTGTAATTTTTTTTTCAACATTATTGATTTATTGACTTTATTGTTTTGGAGTTTCGTCAACAAATTGATTTTGTAAATTGTGGGCTGAACTGGCAATACCATCCAACAAGACCCAGAACACATCTGTTGTAAATCTTGGTATAAGGTTGCAATTAATGTCTTTTCTATAACAGATATGGTCATCACAAGAAGTACTGCAAAAGTTAATACAATCCAGTCAAACTGCACAGTGTCAGATACTCTGTGGGAAATAAGCAAGGAGCTGTTGAAAGGGTGCAGAAGCATGATGTAATCCAAATGGCATCACCGTAGAATGGAATAAACAAAATACTCGTTTGCAGACTTATGCAGTAATAATACAATAACAAGACATGATTTATAGCCCAAATTAATTATATATTTATTTGTAAAAGTGCATTGTCTGTTAAAATGTTGATGGTAAAAGACTTTAGTAATGCAATAACAAAACCCGCAGCATACTGGATAATTCTGAGTCACCTTACAATTAACAGATTACAGATGTTTCAAAAAGTCCTTGCGTAACTCATCATATTTGTTGATATTTCAATTAAATTAAGACCATTCAATCGAATAAAAACATAAGGCGGAACCACTGGGCAACGCTCCAATATTTGATTGGAGTTCCCCTTTCTTGATCTTGTTCTCCTCGCTCCTCTCTTTTCACTTCCTGTCACTGCTTCTACTCCTACCATGATAAAGGCATAAAAAAAAAAAAAATAAATAAATATATAT